ACCCGCGATCTTTCGGTACGAGATCGCTACAGCACTACTGCCTTAGCGATCTCGGCCACCGGATCGGCTTGAAAATTAGTATAATAATACCAATTAAAGAAATAGTTGAACATAGTGAAGATATTTCATGAGGTGGAAGAATTTGGATAATCAGAGTATCGTCAAGGTATTCCAGCCAACCCAAGAAAGTGTTGAGAGAAGAATGTTAAGTTAGCTTCAATAAATAATACTGTAAATTATATTTAGAATTGAGGATTTATTGTTAATCCTGTAAATAAAGAAAATCAGAGAATAAACCCTGCTATAATAGCAAATACGGCTCCTATTGACAAAACATAATGAAAATGGGCTACCACATAATATGTATCATGGAGAATAATATCAAGTGATGAATTTGCTAAAACAATACTGTTAAACCCAATGGTAAATAAAAATACAAAACCTAATGATCATAATTGTGAGGGGTTATAAGATAATTGTGATCCATGTAGAGTAGCTAATCATCTAAAGATTTTAATTCCTGTTGGTTTGGCAATAATTATAGTTGCTGAAGTGAAATATGCTCGAGTATCTATATCTGTACCTACAGTGGATATATGTGCTCAAACAACAAATCCTAATAATCCAATAGCTAATATTGTGTAAATTATTCCTAAGGTACCAAAGGCTTCCTTTTTTCCTCTTTCTTGGCTAATAATGTGGGAAATTATACCAAATCTTGGTAAGATTAATATGTAAACCTCCGGATGTTCAAAGAAGCAAAATAAATGTAGATGTAAAATTGGATCCCCTCCTCCCGCAGGATCAAAAAAGGATGTATTTAGATTTCGGTCTGTTAATAATATGGTAACAATACCAGTCCAAATTGGTAATGATAATAATAATAATAATTAAAAGGCTGTAATTCCAAGTGCTTCTACAAAAAAAGTTGTTTGGTCTAAAGATATTACAGGTGCTGGTATATTAATTATAATGGTAATAAAATTTACAGAAATCTGCCCATAAAATTGAAGAAATACCTGCTAAATGTAATGAAAAAATAGCTGAATCAATTGATGCTCTTACATGAGCAATTCTCATTAAACAACACAATGTCTCATTACTGAATTAAAAATAACATTAACGATACATTAAATTAGCAGATTATGATACAACAGCAAGTGACTTACAATTAGAAAGAGTAATCTTACAGGAGTAATTTAATTAACTTCAATAATGATAATAATTGTATGTCAATTCCACCTTTAAGTCTGTCTGTTCCTGTCTTAATTAATTATGATCTTGTGAAGGATTTGGGGATGTATTTTATGACAGATGAATTCTTGTAACCTTAATTTATTTTATAATAGTGCAACAGTTTCAAGATTGTTGGTTTCCCCATCATCAGGCTGTACAATTGAATTTTACAGTACAAAATTTAAAATTATTTCTAATACAATATTAAAATTCAGAAATTATGACAGGAAAGAACTTACCAGACACATGAGAGCTCACAAAACAGATGTTTCTTACCGGTGTTTATTGTATTGTAAATAATTTTAAGTTTTCTACTATAAAATTTCAAAATTTAAATTGCACGAAACTGTTGCATGATTATAGAATAAATTAAGGTTACAAGAATTCATGTAAAAAATATGGACCCTAACCCTTCACAAAATCAAAAAAAATATATTTGCGAGTGCTTACAATATCCCAACATATAATTACATTTTTTTTCATTATTAAATAGTACATTACCTTATTAGACTGAAAGGTTGGTACAGAGTGCTCATTTTTGTACCAGTAAATGGTTTTTAATTACAGGGAAGTTAAAGCCATTCTGATATCATAAATGGCCACACACTTATAAGGTGATGTTTAAGCAATGTTTTGAAGTATATATTATCAGCTGATTTTATGTTAACTGGGAGATTATTAAAAATCTGTGCATGAATGCAAAAAGATCTTTATTAGTTGAAGACTTCCTAGTGTACATACTGTGAGAGTCCCTATGTCCTGTAGTATGGTAGTTATGAACTTCTATTACTCACAAGATATTGATTCTGATTGTTTCTCAAAAGTAGTAATACTTTTTAATAGTAAAGTGCTACAATTGCAACAACAGTCAGTAATTCGTATTTAATAAAGAAGTCTTCACAGGATTGTCTCGGATTCAGTTTGAAAATACTTCTGATACATTTCTTTTGTAGGTCCATTAATCTATCTGCATTTTTTTGTGTCGTACCTCCCCATAATTTAATATAATATAGAAGTTGTGAAAAGATTATTCCATAATAGACTGAAAGAAGTGCATTGGTTTCCAAGAATCTGCAAAGCAATATATTGGAGTTCATTTTATTACATGCATGCTTTTTTTTGGTATGTATTACCATAAGGGTTTATGTAAATATTTTGAAGGTATATTATATTTCAACGTATATGGCTTCTCCTTTTAATGATAGTATTGCTTTTTAATTTTGTTGCTACAAACATAATAGTAACTCACACCCAGCTCTACTTCTACCTCAAGCAAAAGGAGAGTTCAACAAAATGTACGTAGTGAAGCTACATTTATGGCCAGAAGCATAATAAGTTCGAATTAGATTCTTACCCCCAATGACATGCATTTTCTTTACTTACATTTTCAGAATTTTTTCCTTCCACCTAAAGCACTTGTTAGCAAGCATTTTGTGAGTTAATACACGTGAAATTCGAGTTTTTCATGCAAAAGATAAGTTTTTTTATCCTTTCTAATATTTTGAATTGCTTTGAATAGCTCTGGTTGAAATAAAAATAGAATATCACGATTGGGGTAATATACAAAATATTTCTATGGTTGTAATGTCTACCTGTGATAAGATATTGTTGGCAGTGATACTTTTTTTTCAACAGTGATTGTTTCATAAGAAGGGATACATTATTTGTTATTAACGTTTTTTTCTCCATGCATACAAATATAAAGAGGTTTCTCAGTAATATTAATTTCATTCAGTTTTGTGTTGAAGGATTTAGCTTAGAACACTGAACAGCATTCCCAGGCTCTTGCGAATAACTAGAGCGTGGTGAACAAAAATGTCACAAAACCCACAAAATACAAATATTTTAAAGGAGCTGGATATTCTAAAGAAAATAGGTAATAAAGGGGTAATGTTACGAATTAAATTTAACCAATTATTTATTAATGATTGCTAGTTAATAAATCCTATTATTAAAGATTAAAGTTAATGCAAAATAATTTCTCTTGGAGTCATCATTTGTCAATTTCAGATTCAGTTGTCTTGGACCTGAAATAATGTAAAGGAAAACAAAATAGGGACAGTCATACAATTTATTGCTCTTTATTAAAGCTTCCAAATTTTGTACAGTGCAAATATATTTTCTATGCAATACACATTCAACAATTACAACCATATCAACACATTTAATTTCAATATAAAATATAAATACAATGAAGTCAAATTTCCAGAATAAACCAGCAACTGCAATAAGACACAGGTGCAGGGTAATATTTGGGAATGCACATGCTCTCTAGTGTCGATAAATGAAAGGAAAGGCTTGCAAGGGCGTGTCCCTCATGCTAGGGAAATATTAAGACACAGACGAAGGACCACATTCCTGGATTGTGTGGGATATTCACCCCACCGATGGCTCAAAGGAGTCAATACAAGACATGATCAGAAATACAAGTTGAACATGTTCTGTCAAAATAATGCATTAATTTTCACACCACCTATGAAGAAGAAAGCATGGTCCTTTTTTTTAATACATTGTTTCCCCAGGTGACCTAATGCATGTACCAATAAATAACTGCACATAACAATTCTTACCACCCTTATGCATTTAATGGATCACACTTATCACAAATATTTTCAGGCACATATCCTTACACACTGGACACATAACATATGAGTATATATTACAGATTTGGTAGAATAAAATGCCTTATTTGTTAAATTTTGAACACTATCCTCCTCAAAAATATTATGTACAAAACATTTCAGGTGGAATTTTATTTCCCTTGTCGAAGTGACTCTTTTCACAATTTGCTCTATCTATTTAATAAAGAGTTGGATGAATTGTCATATTCATTTCACTCAAAATTTGGGAATGAGAGTGGTCAATCTTTACTGTAATTTAAAATCTTAGGTGCCCTGTTGGTGATGATGCTGACTGCAGTTTTTCCTTCAGCTTCTGTGTTGCATTGTACAGAGTGAGAAAAAAAAATCTTTAGTGAGAGATCTAAATCTCATAGCTAGGTAACTTTATTAAGAGACACATTTCTTCATAAAAACATGTTAATAAAGTTTTAAATATAAAAAAACTCACTACTTGCCTGGATCTTGCTGTTAATTTGGGAATACTGAAATCATCATAAACCCGGACACATTTCACAGTTATTCATGCAGGACATCCAATTTTCTGTGTGTCTAATGTGGAATCTCCCCTTCTTTGAACCAGGATGATAAGACTAGAACCAAATTATAGATACTAAAAATAACAACTAGTCTACATACATATACTCAATACACACTATAAATTAGTTATTATCACTGCTAGACAACAGTTGGACCTTGAAATAAACAAAAAACCTAAAATGAGGAAACCACACCAGAAATGTAGCTAATAACACAAACAAAATGATATATACCTTAAGAAAATTCTTTAAAATATGTCACGGTCTCTTTTAAAATATTATTATATATTATATAATTAAAGACCTCTAATATAAGACAGTTATATTATTATTTAAAAAACAAAAGAAATATAGATATATATTTCACTTTTTATCCTACGTATGTACAATGTTATCACAAGGTTTTTTTCATCATGATCAAGTACGAAAAGATTTAATACATATTTTTAAAAAGATATGTAGAATTGTCCCAGGCCACTTAAGAAATACTTATATTGATAAATCATTTTGATACATGTGTACATGCAGACATACCAGTTCATTTTTGGAATTATTATAATACTTAGGTCCAAAAATACACTAATAATGAATAGTCTTTACAAACCAGAAAGGAGAACCAAAATATTTGATTTCAGGTACTTTATTTTGCTTTCTACATTGAAACCAAATGCTTGAACCTGCAGAATAAACAGAAACGTTGAAAGGGGTGTTCCAGGATAAACTTAAATTGGGGCAAATTAATATTAAAAATATTTACCGTCACCCTGCTGGCTACTTCGAACAGTATAGCCATATCCATTAGCTTCCAATCCTTTAAGTAAATATTCAAAATCTTCCCCTAGCCAGTAACCAGAGGACTGCAAATTGTTACTCAAAAACCTCAAACACGTGTGAATCATTTGCAGTACGCAAAACTCCACAACGCCGCCAAATAATTACACTGTAACACCAGAAATAACAAACAGCATGCAAAGTGATCCACACGTGTTTGAACCATGGTTCAGTATTGTTGTTGTTTTGGCTGCAACGTGGATTGAACTGCGTCCTGAACGGTGCATTGAGGTGCCAATTGACCATATGTACTTGCCATCATTAGACAATCTTGAAACTAGATTGTCTCGCTACGTTGTGGACATTGTAACATATATTGGAGGATTTGTACTGAAAAGTTGGAAATGTCTCTTGCTTGTGTCGACTGTAAGATAGTTCTTGCCGGACTGATAGTGATGAAGGACCATATTCCTTCATTCACAGGAAGGATGATCATGGGCTGAAATATCCTCCTGCAGATGTGAAAATCTGCAAAAGAGCAGAAGTAGAAGTAAGAGTAATTCAAGGGAGAGGTGTCATGTTTAAAAGGGCAGCTTACACTACAATTGTAAATGGATGTTTGAGAGAATTTGTAAATAATTCGGTTTTTTTGTAATTTAACTTATC